AGCCCCAGGTTGATCTTTCTAAACACTTTCATCACTTCTTCTTTTTTTTTTTTTAATGTGGTACTTTCGCCTGTGCTGTTCTTTCTTCCTGTGATACTACTGTTTCCTTTTTTTCTGCCTTTGCAAATACGTACTCATTCTTAAGTAATCAGCCCCATTGTCTCTGCTGTAAGGAATTCTCTGTGCTCCCAGGCAAAGCTACCTCTCCTTCCTCTGCCCACACACCTTGTTTAGTCCTCTCTCATGGCACTTGCCACACTGTATTTTCCTTCTCCCACATGGATCAAGCTCATCAGGTTAAGAAAAGACCCTTGTAACTTTAGCTTTTAGCACACAGCCTTGCACATAGCAAATACACAAGAGATGTGAAATGAATGAAATATGAATGATGCAGAGGAACCTAAAGATGTGGGTAGTCAGGGAATTACAGAGTGAAATGCAGCATAAAGTTTTAGCACATGATTTTAGACACAGAAAATTGATATTTGGGGATGGAGAAACAGCAGAAAAATGAAGTCATTTAAAATGTAAGTTTATGGGACAGGGTGGAAGTGCACACTAGGCCAGAAGTTGAGCAGAGGTGAGTGCTTTTCATACTTTTTGACTAAGATCCCTCCAGTGGTAGAAGACAATGGACATGTAACCCCTTGGGCTGGGAACAGAGCCAGCATTTCTCCCTTATGTACAACATATCTGTGAGCATTTTCAACATCACCATGTTTTAGCTTTAGAAATTCATGCAACTGTTGCATTCTATGTTATTACCTATGAGTTTGTTTTCACATGAAGATACTTTCTTTGCACTTGCTCATCCTCCAGTAAAATAGATGCTGCAGGGACATGTGTCTTGTATCCTCTGGCTTCTAGTACATTTTGGCATGTTCCAATGCCCAAATGTGGGATTACAGTCTATTATGGCAGCGTAGTAGCTTTCTGTGATTTGGGGGATTGCCTCCTCAGGAGTATTATATCATGGGACTGAGGAGAGTGAGCTCATTATGTTCTGACTAACGAGGGTGTTTCTGGAAGGTTGCAGTCATTTGGAGGCACCTCATTACCAGATTGCTGGGGACTGGCTGGAGAGAGTTCACAGAAGACCCTCAGAAATGATTAAGGGACTGCAGGGGCTGACTGATGAAGAAAGTGTAAATGAAAACCATATAACTTGGCTGAACCAAGATAGTAGAAATATACAACTGTATAAATATCCCAAGAGTATGAACTTGATGGGGGAGGGTAGTCTTTTGTGGTTGGATTTTGGGTTGGGGAGAATAAACCTAGGGTGAAATTAAGTCATGATAAATATAATCTAATAATCCAAAGTATTTGATGGTGTACTTTATTTCTTGGAGTCTCCTTAGATAGGTCACTCTAATCTAATTAGCCTTTTGCTAATTGAATGATTTTTTTTTTTTTAAAGATGTTTCCTATGCTGGAGTGTGGTTGCTCACTGCAACCTTGAACTCCTCGATTTAAGGTATCTTCCCATCTCTGCCTCCTCAGTATCTGGGACTAAAGGCACACACTACCAATCCTAGCTTATTATTATTATTTTTTTGGTCGAGATAGAACTCTTTATGTTTCTTTTGTGGCAGGGTGCAGGGGTGTGTGTGGAGGGGAGGAGTCTCACTCTTTTGCCCAAACTGGAGTGAAGTGGCACGATCATGGCTCACTCTGTCCCCCAGGCTGGAGTGCAGTGGTGTAATCACTTAGCACAGTCTTGATCTCCTTGGCTCAGGTGATCCTTCCGCCTCAGCCTCCCAGGTAGCTGAGACTGGAAGCATGCGCCACCATACCTGGCTGATTTTTTGATTCTTTGTAGAGATGAGTTCTTGCTATGTTGCCAAGACTGGTCTTCCTGCCTCAGCCCCCTCCCAAAGTGATGGTATTATAGGCATGAGATACCACGCCCAGCCACTTTTTGGAATAGTATCTCTAAAAGTGGACACTAAGTTAATAACATGTAGTATAATAATTTTAGGATACAGTATTTGATCCCTGAAGTACTGGTTTTAGGAAATACTAACCTTGATGAAATATAAGCATGAGTGTATGAAATATGTACTTGGGGAAATGTGTAAAATTCCTGATTATGGTATGAGAAGCATAAAGCTTTTAAATAAGAGTTGAAATATTTGCATAATTTTGCTAGTTTATTTTTCTTTTTGATACAAGGTCTTGCTCTATTACCAAGACTGGAGTGCAGTGACATGGTCGTGGCTTACCACAGTCTCCACCTTCTGGGCTTAGGCAATCCTTCTGCCTCAGCCTCCCTAGTAGTTGGGACTATCGGCCACCATACACGACTAATTTTTCATTTTTTGTAGAAACAAAGTCTCGCTATGTTGCCTAGGCTGGTTTCGAACTCCTGGGCTCAAGTGATCCTCTTGTTTTGGCCTCCCAAAGTGCTAGCATTACAGGCATCAGCCACCATGCCCAACCTAATTTTGTTAGTTTTATAGCTCCTTTCCTAAGAGGGGATAGTGAAATAGGAAGGAAATGATTTTTATGCCTTTGATTTATAAAAATGTGTCCATTTATATAAGGCAGTTAGGTAGCTTTAAGATTAAGACCTCTATACTAGGGGTTGTTACATACTTTTTCTGTAAAGGGTCAGAAAGTCAAGTTTTGTGGACCCTACAACTCTGCCACAGCAGCTCAGTTCTGTAGCAGTGCCAAAGCAGCAAAAGACAATATATAAATGAATGAACTTGGCAGTTTTTATTCTGTTTTTATAGAAACAAGTGACTTCTGGATTTGGCCTGCAGGCTGGAGTTTGCTGACTTGTGGTCCTGAAAGCGTGGTCTGTAAGACTAGCAACGCCGACATTATCTGTGAGCCTGTTAAAGACACAGAATATTGGATCTCTTCTCAGGCTGGCTGCTCTAGAGTCTAGATAGACCTTGTTTCTCAAACTTCAGCATGCATAGGACTCACTGGGAATCTTACAGAAGTGCAGATTCTGAGATAGTAGGGCTGGACACCCTGCTAGCCACGAGGGGGAAAGATGAATACGAACCAGAGTCTGCAGAAAGCCCACAGTCTGTTCGGAGACAACAAATTTTAGTACAGACTAATACATGCTGTAGTAGAGGTGACTTCAACATAGAAGTATCACAAAGGAGTGATTGATTCTGACTGGTATGGGTAGAGTCCTCAGAGAGGCCTTGAAACTAGACTATAGTAGAGGGAGTGCTTGAGTTGAATCTTGAAGCTCACAGAGGCACTGAAGCATCAGGTTAAGCAGGTAGTTCATGGTAGGGACAGTCAAGGTTATGTTAGAATTAGGAGTTATTTGACTTAATAACTAATTGCTGATCACAGGGTTGGAGACCCACTCAGATCATAATGAATAGAAAAGAATGTTCAGTGCTTTCTGTTTTCTTAATTTCTTTTTTTATACCATGTCCTAAAATAGATGTTTTCCAGAAATAGAAACTTTTTATATGTCTTTGTTTCATTAAGAATAAAAATTATAGGTAGAAGATAAAAGCTTCTTACAATTTCATAAAGCGAAAGATGACCACTATTAATATCATTGTTTTTCTTTTCAATCTTCTTTATATAATGTTATAGTTCTAAAGTTGAGCTTGTGCTGTATAAGCAGTTCTATGCCTGCTTTTTCATTTAACATTTTATTTGTGAGCATTTCCCTATTTTAAAATCCTTGCATAACATTCTGTGGTAGGGATCTCTTGTCATTCATGTATATATTCTCTTGTTTGTGAATCCTTTAAACTCATTCCGGTTGCTAGTTGACCCAGGTTTTTGGCTTATGTACTTGACAAGTCTATTGCCACATTTTAAAATAAAAACATATACCTATTTATTTTTAATTCTAAAAGTTTGCCACCTTACTTGATTTGTTGGCCTTCTCTCATTCTGTTTTTCTGTTCCTGTTAGCATCTTGTGTTTTCTTCCTTGGTTTTCCATAGTAGAGAGACAGTAGAGGAGTCATTGAAAGCATGAATTCCGGGCCCAGGTTGTCTGGGTTTGACTCAGCTCTACTATTCATCGTGTGTTGTCTTGCAAAAGTACCTAACTTAACCTTTCTATGTCCCAGTTTCCTCATCTGTAAAATAGGTATACTTGTACCTGTGTATTAGGGTTGTGAGTTTATGCATATGAAGCGCTGAGAACACTTTCTTCCACATGATAAGGCTGGCTCTTCATTTACTGATGAATAGTCTTTTCTCACTGTTTTACGGTGGCTGTTTGTGTATGCCATAAACCCCCTTTCTGCTATGTTTTTGGTTAATGAATGTCTTTGAGAGTAGCAAATTGACTTTACTAGGCTTTATTTAGTAACTTTATTTTCTGCTACTTGTAGTAGCAGATTTTACTTTTAAATATAAACTCAGCTTTGTTTAATCATGTCTTGGAAATGCATACATGGGCATGAGGGAGCAGACTGCATAGGCTGACAGACTGGATTTTAAAGCTCTTTGGTGGGCCGGGCATGGTGGCTCACGCCTGTAATCTCGGTACTTTGGGAACTGAGGTGTATCACTTAAGGCTAGGAGTTTGAGGCCATCCTAGGCAACAGAGTGAGACCCTGTATCTAAAAAAAGAAAATAATAATAATAAAGCTCTGGTGGTTTTTCCTTTCCAACGAAATCTTGTCATGATGCCTTTTCATGGCATATGTGGCCCTCCTATACTTTCCTCTCATTTCTCTTGGTGGTTGTTGCAGATCCTGTGCTCCAGCTCCATTAGACTGAAATGGGATGTGGTTGTGCTGAAGCCCACTCTTTAACGGAGGTGCTGGAGCTTCCTTCTGGGGAGTGATGTAGCTACAGACAGTGGGGTTGCTGGTAGGCTTTTCTTGTGGAGTTGGAGAATGGCTGCAGGAAATGGTGTTATTTTAGTTGGGATGCTATGTTGGGGTTATTTTTAGTGCCCCAGGTTTTCCACTGCCTGTTCTACCTCCTCTTCATTGTTTTCTGGGGAAACACTTTTAGAAATAAAAATGGGTTCCTCTGACCCTATTTTCTTTTTAGGGTAGGATCCTGGGACACCAGAACAGATGCATCTCTTGGCAGTTGATTGTGCCCTGCACTAGAGAGAAGTCTGGGAATCCTATCTTCTCTACCCAGGAGGTCATCCAGTTCATCCCAGAAACACCAGCCCTCTGTTTACTGTGACACATCCTCAGAGACGGTCTGATGGACAGACCCTTCCTGTTGACCTTGTGGCTTTTTTCTTTCATGTGGAAGTTGGAAGACAAGGTGAAAGAGGCCAGAAGTTACCTGCTTTGGTGAATAGGAGTGCTGCACTTGTTTCTCAGAACATGGGCCCTCGCTTGAAGGTAAGTAATAGATTGACTTAGACTCAGTCACTGGGATTCAGAACATGGATCCAATGACTAGTTCCTAAACCTTTTCAGCAAGGGATAGCTGTTGAAGTTCACAGTTGCTTTGAGAATTGACTTTGCCCCTACCAGAGCCATATTAAATATGAATGAAGCGACCCATTCTCCATTTTTGGGAAATGACATTTTCACGACTGATCTTCAATATTGGGGCTAAAATTTTTTTGATACTTAATTACAAATCTTTATACTCCAAAAAAAGCAAAGTGTTTTAGAATATGTATATCAATCAACTTCCTAACAGTCCATTGAGATAGGTATTTCAAGTATTTACCCCCTTTTTAGTTAATGTGAGCCCAAGTGCTATAGTATGAAGCAACTAGACCAGGATGCATCAGCAAGTGATATTGTTGCAGTAGATAATGGTACTGCATTCCACTTTTCTTTGTCATGCTTTATTTTTATTTCAAAAAGTTTTTTAAAAGAGCCGTAAGAATTTTATCTTTCTAATTTTCACCTCACTGTGAGATTCCTCACAGTAAGACTGCATGTTTTTCATACTTTCTTTTATCTGTTTTCCTAAACCTTTTTTCTTCCCAAATACTTCACTATCACAATGGCTTTCTTCTTTTTCATAATTCAGGATTGTCTGAGGTTAAGAGTATTGGGCTCCAAAGTTAGAGTGTCAGCTCAGTCATTTAACCAGCTGTGAGATGTCAGCAACTTTAAACCCAGCTTTTTTTTTTTTAATCTGTAAAATGAGTAGCATTTATGTCACCAAGCTGTGGTGACAGTTAACTTAGGCTAACATATGTAAAGCACTTAGGCAGTGTTTGCTTGTGATAGCAGCTCCAGAAGGGAGTGGAGAGGTTTACTGCTGTTATTCTACTAGTGTGAAATATCATAATTTGCTAAAATGTGTAAGGGTAAGGATACTAAAAAGATGAACTTGAAAACAAAATACTCAGGTCACAGTTGTATGGAATAGTATGATGGAGACTTACATATTTGTTTGTGCTTGAATTAGGCTCAGGAAAGTTTCCAGAATAATTTCATGCAAGAGAAGTGTGAATAGCAAAAAGTAGAGGATGCTGTAGAAAGATACCAGGCATGAGAACCCATGACCCAGTGGTGGGAATTTGATACATACGAGGGGGGATCCAAAAAAACTTAGAATTATCTTTTGGAGGGTAGACCCCCATGCTAGGTCAGTGTTCTAGGAACCCATCAGCATCAATGTACCAGCTAGTGTTGTTGCAAGGGGCTGCGTTTGGCTTCAGTGAATGTTTTTTTGGAGATTTCTTCCTGATGGGTTTTTTATGAGCCCACCTGCCCAGGCATGCTGAGTATTCAGCAGTTTTTGACCAAAAATGGTATGACCCCTGTGTCCTGTCTCCGTATTCACCCTATCTTGCCCCAAGCAACTTATTTTGTTTTCCCAGATAAAAAAAATCCTTAGAGGGAAATGTTTTGTTGATGTGGAAAAGGTGAAACAAAACATTAGAAACACTAAAAGGCATCAAAATCGACAAATCCAGAAACTGTTTTGAGTGATGGAAAAGGCATCTCGGTAAGTGTTTTGCATCAAACAGAGAATACTTTGAAGGTGACTGAAACTTAAACATGGAAGAATAATTGCACAATTTTTTTTTTTTGAGTCGGAGTCTCACTCTGTCGCCCAGACTGGAGTGCAGTGGCTGCTCCCGGCCACTGCAGCCTCGACCTGCTGGGCTCCGGCGATCCTTCCACCTCAGCCTTCCAAGTAGCTAGAACTACAGGCGTGCGCTACCACGCCTGGCTAATTTTTGATTTTTATTGTAGAGATGAGGTCTCGCCAAGTTGGCCAGGCGAGTCTCGAACCCGCGGTCTCAAGCAATCCACTCACCTCAGCCTCCCAAAGCGTGGGATTACAGACTGAGCCACTGGCTATTGCACAGTTTTTTATAAATAAATTCTGAGGTTTTTTGGGTGCCCCCCCATACTTGTTGAACTGAATTAAATTGGCAACTTTTAGGTCAGAAGAGTTGTTAATCTCTGGTGCAAGTGAATATTCTGCTACACTTGATCTTAGCCAAAAGGTTGAGAAGCGATGAATATACTGCTAATTAGAGAAGTCTTTTAAAACTGCCTATCTTCCCCTCCCACTATGAGAACTTTTCTGTCCTCTCAATAAATCTTGCTTTCTAAAAAAAAAAAAAGAAAGAAAGAAAGCAAAAACAAAATAAAACTGTGCCTATCTGATCCTTAGGCATTCTGAACAAAGAACAAACATTGTGTGTGTGTGTGTGTATGTATGTGTGTGTATCTCTGTCTCTGTCTCTCCCTTTCTCTCTCTCTCTCTCTTTTACCCAGGCTGGAGTGCAGTGGCATGATCACAGGTCACTGCAGCCTCCAATTCCTGGGCTCAGGTGATCCTCCTGCCTCAGCCTCCTGGAGAGCTGGGACTACAGACATGCATCACCATGCCTGGCCAGTTTTTTGTAGAAATGAAGACTTGCTGTGTTGCCCCATGTGGTCTCCTTCCTCGACCTCCCTAAGTGCTAGGATTACAGGCATGAGACACTGAGTCTGGCTTAACTCTTTATTATAAAAAGTTTCAGGCATAAATTTAGAACAGTATAAAGAACTCCCATGCTGGCTGAGATTTTAGGAATAGCAACAAAAGCCATGCCTTTTGTAATTCCAATGCATTTTTCATTGAAGAAAGTGGGAGCCAGTAGAGGGTTGCTACTGGCCCCAGGCAAATGAGTGGTAATACTGGTACTACCATTGATGATAATTATAATAATCATTAAAACTTTGCGAACTCACTGTGTGCCAGACACTACTCTAGGCTGTTTACATGTGTTAACTCATTTAATACAGGACCCCATGAGGTACATATGGGTGTTGTCCCCATTGGACAGAGAAGGAAACTGGCACCCTATAGAAAGATGAGATGACTTGTTTGAGGTCACATTGTGAGTGGCAGAGCATGGATTTGAGCCCAGGTAATCTAACTCTAGAGTCTGTGTTCTCATCCACTCTATGGTATTATTATTCTACTATGTGATTGCAGGGGCCTGATGACTATGGAGAGTTACATTGAGTCATAGCATACTAAAGAGATGGTGCCATAGGAATTATTAAATCTCAGTTCTTGTCACAGCAATGAGAATTCTGAAGGCTAGATGGGTAATGCAGTTACTTGTAGCCCTGGGGCTGGCGACACTTACCATGTGTCAGCTGCCTCTTATAGAAAAGGTGGTTGTAGTTGTTGGAGATAGTAGATGGGAATTTTTCCAGCTCTCGTGACAAGCCACAGATTTGGCACTGCTCTTATTCTTCCAAGGAGCAATAGAATTGAGATCACAAGTCTGTCACTCAGCTGCACACACTTAATTTTGTGCTAAGCATGGTAGCTTTCCTGAGGACCAGAAGTTTCATATCTGAGATCAGGATGGCATCCAGCTGAGGAAGTATGTAAACCAGTAAAACTGCCAGTTTTGACACTACCAAGGCATGAAGTACATCATGTAAGATGCAAACAGAGACTTTTTGAGAGATGATAGCAGCTTTTCAGCATAGGATCCCAGGAGACGAGATGTTTATTTGGAGGAGAGGCTCAGTAGTTGTGGTCCCAAGTTTTGGGCTAGTATATTGTCCACGATAGACTCTTTTGATAACACCTCAATTCACATTTGTTGACAATTCTTTAAGTAGGGATTTCTATGAATCTTTAGACAGTTACTCCTTAAATTACCTACTCTCTGTGGGTTTCACTAGGTATATTGTTAACAAAGGAACTATTAGGCCATCTTTTCCCTTTCTTTATCTTAAAAATTTTTAGCACAATTAGACACAAAAGTACACCCCCAAAATAAAAAAGTTGTTGTGGTCCCTCCCAGATCTGAACCTAGAGATTTTTATCTGTCTTTAATATTCTAGTGCTGATAAAAGGCGCTGGGTTGAGATAATATTGATAACCTTAGTGTATATATTTACTTGAAAAGACAGTAAATTGAGTGCATTGTAGAATGGAGAGCATATACAGTCTGTACTAAGGTCAGCTCAGTGACATGGTAGGAATGACAGTGTACATTGCATTTTTCCTTGGCGTTGCCTTTAGTGGCTCAAGATGATGAAATGTATAGTGAAGACTGAATTCTTATTCGGGAAACAAGTTTAACAACAGTGAAAATTTCCTCTCCAACTCTAGCCTTGGCAGATGTCACTTAGAACGAGCAGTACAGTCTCCTTTTGTCCCCTCCTCGGCCTTTCTGCTGCATTCATCTTCCAGAGGGCTCTTAGTTTGTCTGATTGGTAACAGCATAAATGACTTCTCCTACTTATCCCCTGCTTATTATTGGGATGACCCAGAGTTCATTTTAATTACATAATGCCAACGTGATGATAATGATACTTGCTATTTTAAAAAAAATTGACATTCTATATAGTTATTTCTATTTAGCTGAATTGCTTCCTGAAGGCAAATATAAGGGGGAAATGATTCCATTATCCTCTTTGCGTGTGTTAATTAGCACCGCTTTGCATGGGGGAGGGAAGCTGTCTTGGGAACCCTGGATCTAGGAAGATGAAAGCCATATTACTGTATTTCATAATTAGCAAGAAAGCTAGTGGCTGTTTGTGGTATTTCTGGGGTGGTTGGTGGGCTGGAAATCTTCAGGGGGATTGTACAGTCTCTCTTTGTTTCTCTGAACTATGTCATAGGGCACCTGTCAAGCTAGAAAGAGGGGACAGGAGTAGTAAAGCTGTGGACTACAGAGAGATAGCTGGCTCAAGCCACGTGTTCTACTTTGTCTCACTCTGAGGTGGCTGATGGCTGTAAGGAAGAGCTGGGAGAAAAAACTAACCAAGTTTTCTTTTGCAGTTGCAGCTGTGATCCTCGGCTGTCTGTTGGCATTGAGGGGACCTGATGTTTTACGTTATTGGTACGTTCTAGGAAGAGCTCTCTTTGTCGTCCTTTTGTTAGGGCTGCTTAGGTCCTTTTTGCTGCCCTGTCTTTTCCTTTTCCCCTTGAAAACGGGGCTAGAGATATTTCCATTTGTGCCAGTGTACCTTCACAGAGTTGGCATGGAATTCACTCATTGAGCAGTTACAGTCAATGCCAGACACTGTTTACTGTGGAGTCTAAAGTTGAATAAGGCAAAAGGTCTGCCTTCAAGGAATAGAGTTCATAGTGTAATGGGAGATGGTCAAGGAGGAGAAAAGTTATAATGGATGAATGTATAGCAGTTAGAAGGAGCCCAGGAGAGGGAACCGCTGACTCTACTGGGGACAGGGAAGGCTTTTGCCACGTGGACAAGGGAGGAGAAGGCCCCCAAATGCACATTCTTTTTGCTGCTTCTGTGGGGGTCTAGCACATGCAGGAAGGTGCAGGGCAGGGAGAACATATGTATGTAGCTCATGCAGAGCAAAAATCTGTAGATGATGGGTGTGGCATTATTCCAGTAGAACTTTATTTCCTCTAACAGGCAACTGGTGGGATTTGGTCTGAGGGTTGTAGTTGCTGGCCCCTGGTGTGGAAGTTCCTGCCTTCATCCAAAGAGATAGTGATCCAATACAGTGTTTCTTTGGTAGACTTGCAATCTCATTAGGAAATAGTAAGGCTGTAGACTAGAGAGAAGTGGTTGGCTCAAACTGTATGGTCTACTTTGTCTCACTTTGAGATGGCTATAAGGAATAATTATTTTTTTTAAGAGACAAGATCTGGCTCTGTCACCCAGCCTGGAGTGCAGTGGTGCAATCATAGCTCAAAACTCCTGGGCTCAAGCAACCTCCTGCCTCAGCCTCTGGAGTAGCTGGGAGTATAGGCATGAGCCACCGTGCCTGGCTGTTAAAATTTTTTGTAGAGACTGAATCTGCTGGTCTTGAACTCTTGGCCTCCAGCTATCTTCCTGCCTTGGCCTCCCAAAGCACTGGGATTATAAGCATGAGCTACCACGCCTGGCAGCTTCCTTTAACTCTTGAGAGATGGCTAGCCTGTTCCATAATGAAAAGGTGTATAATATGTAACTGGCAGGTGTTTTATGTGTTCTCTTTTTTGCATAGGTGGAATCACAGTATCTGTGGTTGCATTCTTCTTCACAATTAAGTTCCTCTTTGAGCTTGCCGCACGTGTAGTCAGCTTCCTCCAGAATGAGGACCGTGAGCGCCGAGGGGACCGGACCATTTATGACTACGTGCGGGGAAATTACCTGGACCCCCGGTCTTGCAAAGTCTCCTGGGATTGGAAGGACCCCTATGAGGTGGGCCACAGCATGGCCTTCCGAGTGCATGTAAGGGAATGTTTCTGTCTCCGTCCCCATGGGGTTTCTGAGTCACTTGCACTCCAGTTCAGTCTCTTGGTGGTGCTGGCCGATTGTTTAATATTTCTCGTTTTTCAAGCCAGGAACTTGGGAATTGTTACTGTCTGAAGAGTCACAACTTTCTCTGTCATTTTGACTTAATAGGTACTTAGCTTTAAAGAAGTATAAAACTTACTGCTACTTTTTCAAAATAAAAAAACTATTGCTAAGAAGGATAGATCAGGGTTAACAAAGCAGGCCCACTTCTGTTTCTGTAAATACGTTTGTGTTGGAACACAGCCACAGCCATAAATCACATCGTGACTGGCTGCTCTCACACTTGAGTAGTTATGACAGTTGAGTAGTTGTGTATGGTCCCCACAGCCAAAAATATTTACTCTCTGGCACTTTACAGAAAGTTTGCCGACCCCTGCAGTGACTTCTCCACTGTAGCATGAAGCTTAGTTTGAGAGCCTGAATCCCTCCTTCCTGTGCCTGGAGCTTTAGTTCACTCAGTGCTGCCTGTTACCTTCATGTGTGGGGTAGCTTTGGTAATATAACATAAGGACTGGTAAAACCAAGAGGCAGCATGCCAAGTTTTTGGGTTTTGTTTTCTTTTTTTTGAGTCGGGGTCTTACTCTGCTGCTTAGTGTGGAGTGCAGTAGCATGTTCACTTACTGCAGCTTCAACCTCCCTTCCACCTCAGCCTCCTGAGCAGCTGGGACTACAGGTGTGTGCCACCACCCCTGGCTAGTTTTTTTTATTTTTATTTTTGTAGAAACAAGGTCTTGCTCTGTTGTCTAGGCTGGTCTTGAACTCCTGGGCTCAAGTAATCCTCCTGTCTCAGTCTCCTGAAGTGCTGGGATTATAGGTGTGAGCCACTGTTCCCAGCCAAGTGAGTCAAGTTAAATGGACGTTTTCTTGATTTAGTGGTCTTTCACCCCTGTCCTCTGAACATGTGAAGAGTTTATTCATGACTTAGTGGTTTCCTTTGGAGTGCTAAGGGAATCTGTTTCACTGTGAGCAGGACCAGAAGGATCAGGGCAGGTACTGGCATTTATAACATGGTCTCTGCCCACTACCTCCCCTCACTCTCTCTAGTTACATGGGAAGTGTTTTTTCCCTCTGCACACTAATGGGTGCTTTTCTTCTCCCCACTGCAGTTATTCTATAAGAACGGGCAGCCTTTCCCTGCGCTTCGGCCTGTGGGACTGAGAGTTCACATTTCTCATGTTGAGCTAGCGGTGGAAATTCCAGTGACCCAGGAAGTTCTTCAGGAGCCTAATTCCAATGTGGTGAAGGTGGCCTTCACTGTGCGCAAGGCTGGACGTTATGAAATCACGGTGAAGCTTGGTGGATTAAATGTGGCCTATAGTCCCTACTACAAAATTTTTCAGCCTGGTAGGTGTTTTTCTTTCCTTTCTTTCTCCCTTTGTCTCTCTCGCTTCTTCACTCCCTCCATCCCTTCTTTCCTTATTTTTTAAAAAATAATACCTTTATTGAGATTTAATTCACATGCCATACAGTTCATCCATTTCAAATATATGGTTTAATGTTTTTTAAAATTCACAGAATTGTGCAGCCATTACCACAGCCAGTTGTGGAGCATTTACATCACCCCAAAAAGAAATCCCAAATACATCCGTGGTCTTTTTCCTCAAATCCTCTAGCCCTAGGCAGCCACTAATCTACTGCCTGTGGATTTGCCTACTCAGGACATTTCCTGTAACTGTTATCATAAGATAAGTGGACTCTGTGACTAGTTTATTTTACTTAATATAATGCTCTGAAGATTCATTCATGCTTTGTAGCATGAATCTGTACTTCATTTCTTTTTGTTGACAAATGAGATTCCATTGTATGTGTGTGCCACATTTTACTAATCTATTCATCAGTTGATGGACGTTTGGGTTTCTGCTTTGGCTACTACAGGCAATGCTGCTGTGAACATTTGTGTACAAAGTTTTTGTGTGGATATATGCTTTTATTTCTCTAGGAATGTAGAATGGCTGAGTCTTCAGTCTGGTAAACTCTTAAGGGCTAGGAATGCTAGAATGACAAAAGAGAAGTCCTTTTGATCTTTGAAACCTTTTAAAGTAAAAGTACCTTGACCCTAATCCCACTCTTGCTGCCAATATGTGTTTTTCTTCTCACTGAAGAGTGCCTGCCCACTTTCTTCTGATAGCTAAAATGGAGACTATTATCTCTACTTTTCCCCCTCTCATGTCCTTTATGCCAGATAGCAAATGCTCACTGACATCAAAGTCTAAAAGTCTCACCTCTGACTCTTAGTTCTCTGTATACATGTTCAGTGTGTCAAGATCCTGTCAGCCCTGTGTGCCCTGCCTGACTTCCATTCCAGGGTATGGTTAGATGCTGGCCAGTTTGGTATCTGCAGAAACGATAGGACCTTGGGAGACTTTTGGAGTCAAACCCTAATGAGTGAACCCTTAGGAACACTTGTGTATCTTTGCTTGACTAGTGCTTAGTTTTCTTTCTCTTATAGCAGAGGAAGGCTGTGCACATAGTGGCTCTTGAGCATCTCCTCTCCATGTTGCTCCCCCTTGGAATTATCACCACCCCACTTCCTCACCACCAACAAAGAACAATTTATATCTTTATAATATGTGACAACCCTTTAAAATTTTAATTAGTTAATTTTTTAGAGATAGTATCTTACTGTGTTGTCCAGGCTGGAGTGCAGTGGCATGATCGCAGCTAACTGAAACCTGAAACTCCTGAGCGTAGGTGATCCTCCTGCCTCAGCCTCCTGAGTAGCTAGGACTATAGGCATGTGCCACTGCCCCTGGCCACCTTTTTTTAAAATTAAGTTTTTTATTTTGAGATAATTGTATATTTACATGCAGTTGTAAGAAATAACATAGAGATATATTATATCCTTTACCCAATTTTCCCCAGTGATAACATCTTTCAAAACCATAGTCTAGTATCACAACCAGATTATTGTACTGACACAGTCAAGGGACAGAACATTCTGCCACCATAAGGATCCCTCATGCTTCCCTTTTATAGCCACACTCACTTCTCCCTCACCGCCTGTTTTTTAACTCCTGGTAAAGCATGAATCTGTTCTTCATTTCTATAATTTCATCATTTGAAGACTGTTATATAAGTAGGATTGTGTAGTTAAAACCTTTTGGGAATTGATTTTTTTTGTGGAAATTCATCCGGGATTGAGTGTGTCAGTAGCTGGCTCCTTTTGTTGCTGAGTAGTACAGGTTAAGTGTACCTCATCTGAAATGGTTGGAACTGAAGTATTTGGAATTCAGATTTTTTCGAATTTTAAAAAACTTGCATTATACTTGCCAGTTTAGCATCCCTAATCTGACAATTCAAAATCTGAAAATGCCCCTGTGAGAATTTCCTTTGAGCTTCAGGTCAGTGTTGAAAATTTTCGGATTTTGGAGCATTTTGGATTTCAGACTTTTGGATTAGGGATGCCCAACCTGTATTCCATGGTGTGAACACACCACAGTTTATTTAACTGTTCACTCATTGAAGGACATCTGAGTTATTTCCATTTTTTTGCTATTACGAATAAAGTTGCTATAAACATTAATATGTAGGTTTTTGTGTGAACCTAAGTTTTCATTTTTCTGGTATAAATGCCCAAGAGTGCAATTGCTGAGATGTATGCTAGTTGCCTGCTCGGTTTCTTTTAAATTATCAAACTTTTCAGAGTGACTGTAATATTTTACATTGCATCAGCGGTATGTGATTGCATGATCCAGTTTCTTCACATTTTCAACAGCATTTAATATTGTCATTAACTGGGCTCAGTGGCTCAGCCTGTTATCCCCCGCTTTGGGAGGCTGAGGTGAGTGGATTGCCTGAGCCCATGGGTTCAAGACCCGCCTGGGCAACTTGGCAAGACCTCATCACTACAATAAATCAAAAACTAGCTGGGCG